GACTGATAATTCATTAGCTTGGTCTCGTCCATCTTTAACATATATGTCCTTCTCCTGTTCCTGTAGTACAAAAGAGGTGTATAAGATTGAATCTCTCTCGTTAATAGTTTTCTTAGTAGGTTAATGGTTTTTTTAGTAGATTATGGTGACAAGGATTTTTACTGGTATTATAAGTTGTTAACTAAAACATAAACTCCATTATACAAAATGATGCACTACTGCATGGTACTGGGAGAAAATGGAACAAGATGGAGATGAACCTTTTTTTCCAATTGACTTAGTTTGAGCCAAGCAAAGTGCAACAAGAAAGAATCATGGATTTTAAACACGATTTATGAGTTTTTTACATGCAATCACAAGTTTAGTTTGGTATGTTGGAAATTATAATAAGTCTAATAGTTTGTGATGTTTGTGAAAATATAAATTGTTTAGGATGTGCAACCAGCACTGGTTAAATAGATTTTGGCGCCTAACGCTCAAAATTTTTTTTAGCCTCTTAATGAAAAAACCTTGCAAAATAGTGCTTTTAGGAGTCGAAATCAGTTACTAGTAAATCAATAAACCACTGTGCTACAACACATTTTCAAAAATTGATGTTCTTAACTTGTATCTATTTTTTTTGGCAGCTTAAAGCAAGGATTTTAACTTGTATCCATTTTCAAAAATCTTAAGTTATTTTCTTGCCTATTTTAAATACTCAAATGTTCACCTTCTGATTATTTTAAAATGACTCGTTAACAGAGGTTAACGACACTAACGACGATATTAAGTTTTTCGTTTAGTCTGTTAACTCTATCTAATCATGTTTAAATCGAGGAGTTAGAGCCATTTTAAAAAGGAGAATTCCCAATTCCCAAATGTTTTAACCCTAATTTTTTTAATCTCTCAATTGTTTTCTCTCAAATAGGTAAAAAATGTCGAATCAGAGTCAAATCTCCGGAATAGAATCAAACGCTTCGCATGGTGGAGGATTCAAGGGTTTAGTGAAGTGTCACTGTGGGAAGGTGTCTGTGGTGAAAAAGGCTTGGACGAATGATAATCTGGGGAGAAGATTCTATGGATGTGGAGCTGCAAATTGGAAGTCTTGCAACTTCTTCAGATGGTTTGATGTTGAAAAGCCTCAAGGGTGGCAGAAAAACGCTTTGTTGGAAGCTCGCGATTTGATTCGGGAGCAAGGAGAGGAGTTGAAAAAGCTACGAGCAATCGTCGGAGAAGAAGGTAAGGAAATGGCTTATGTTGGAGAGAAAATCAAGACAAGCACCCAGAATCCAGACACGTTGCTGCAATTGACGACGTCCAGTACCAGCAGATGCAGTATTAGAAGATGATGCCGCAGTGGATGGTTGAAGTGCAGTAGCTGGAGCCACGGTAGACGCCTGTGATTGCGACTGAGACTGAGGCTGTGACTGAGACTGTGATTGAGGATGAGATTGAGTAGTGTTGCGCTTCTTTTTAGGCCGTGGATTAGCTTCAACATCCTGTGATGCCACAACATCATAAATACCAACTAGCATTACTCAAGTACTTCAGATGAACAAATAAAAGTTAGAGAGAAAGAGGCTCTTACAACAGGATTTTTACGAGGTCTTCCACGTTTGCGAGGTGGACCTTGGACCATAAAAGCAGGATTCCTGCAACCTTGTTTGTTATGTCCGGTCTGCTTGCAATTTCTACATGTCATTGTTCTGCCATGTTTAGTAACTCGTTTAGGCTTAGAAGGAGACTCATGCACAGCCTTGAACTCTTTTTCTTCGGTCTCCCTGGCATCTTTCTGAATCCTGGAACCCCAATTGGCTTCTTATTAGTCTTTTCCCAATATATCTCCCCATTAACTGGCTTGATGTTGGCTCGGTATGTTTCTATCCAGGTTTCAGTTCTATAGCAGATATCGACATGGCTGAAACAAAAGGTTTGGAGACATTACAAACCTGGTTGCTACATTAAAAACTTATACTTGAAAAAAAACTTACTTCTCTGGTTGTTGATGGTTCTCGTTGATCACCCGAATGGCATGTGAACAAGGAATACTGGTCAGGTCCCAGTCTCTACAAACACAATGACGCAGGCGAAGGGATACCTCGTAGCTGCATCCGTAGAGTAACACCTCAAACAAATTGTCTGAGCTTGTAAGCACTGATCAGTCCTTGCTCTCCTCTCTATTTTCTTCCAAAATGTCCCCGACCTTGTTTGGGAAAGGCATTATACACGCCTTATCTCTCTTCAGTCTGCGTGATATACGTGCCATCGCCTGCCTCCTAATTGCCTCCAACATGTTTATCATGGGCAGTTCTCTAGCTCCTTTAATCGTCCTGTTAAAGCTCTCCGACAAACTGTTGCATACATTAGCAGACTTTGCATTTCCAGTGAAGAAAGAAAGGCACCAAGTCTTGGGCTCCGCAGCTAACAACGCATCGTGTGCCTCTGCATCAAATGCTATGAGCTCATCCATATGTAGCTGGTACTCTCCCACGGATTTGCTATACGCCATATTCCAGAATAATGGCTTGTAATCAACATCGCCATACTTCTTTTTCCAGTTCCCGTAGACATGCTTTGCACAATTCCTATGCTCTGCATTAGGAAGAACAGTAGCAAAAGCTACTTTTAGACCTTGCATATGATGTAAAACATTGTTAGTATTAGAGAAAAAAAATGTAAACAGCTAAGATAATCATCAGCATTGATGAATAATACCTTTTGCCTGTCAGATATGAATGTAAGTCCATCTCATACACCCAAATCTAAATCAGCCTTCAACTTATTGATGAACCATTCCCAAGAATCCTTGTTCTCCCCTCTTACCACTGCCCAAGCTATATGATATATCCTATTTTCTGCATCCTTACCAACAGCAGCTAGTATCTCTCCCTTCAACTCTCACTTTAAGAAAGCACCAAAACAAGCCTTATTAAAGGTCTGCAATATTTCTTCCAACTTCTCCTCAGTGGTTCGAAACAGACATAGAAGCTCTCGAACACCTGTTTTCCATCTTTAGGAACGGTTACAATCTCGGTCGTAACTCCCTCATTAGACCTAATCAATTCAGCTTCATAGTCCCACAATTTAGCAAATTGTTCTTTCTGAGTCTCCAAAACCATATCCAATGCAATTCTCCTAGCTTTTCGGCACTTGAAGATGGAAACCGAGATCTTGTACCTGTGCATTAACTCGTCCTTAATGTCAGAACTCCTTATGTCTGGTCGGCGCGTTGCTTCCTCTTTGAAAAGCCTTGTAATAGTACCTTGCTTCAGCATCCTAGCTCTTCCCGTAGGCAAATGACAGTGTTTGTCTTCATACACTTTAACCATCCACTTCCGTATTGGCTTCTCCACCGAAAAATAGATCCTCCATTTGTATTTCTTATGTGTGCAAATGGCTGCATACCTTTGCATATTTCACTTACTCAACTTCACATCATACTGAGTTTTCAATACATACCTCAAAAATTGATCCTTGAACTCCTCTCCACTGTTAAAAGTTTGCATTAACCATAGGTATGGAGGCTTATCATAATCAGCCTTACTATTCCCTTTGAACTTCCTTCCATGGTCATCTTTCTTCTTCCAATTATGCCATTCTTCATCAATGTCTTCCGGCGAATCTGGGTATTCACCATCTTTCCTTGGTCTCTCACCTTCAACGTCACTATCCACACTGTCGTCATCTGCAGGAGGCTGAGTAGTCTTACCACGAAATACAGGAGGCGGCTCTTGTTCGATTAAGGCTAACATATTATCAAACCGTGGGTCATCATCTCCTTCACCTAGTATCTGATTCTCATCCTCCGATGGCACTCCACCCTCTTATTCTCTATTCACCACTAAAGCACCTTCTTCGTGTCTTTCTTCTTCCTCATTTTCTTGCTCACTGTTTTCACATCAGTATCCTCCCTCTCTTGTCCTCTATCCTCCTCGTCACTCTCTTCTTCTCTAGCCTCGTCATCACTACTGTTTTCATCATCACCATTCTCACCATCATCCTCTACCTCTCTACTTTCAACACCTCTGTTTTCATCATCACTATTCTCACCTAAATCCTCTTCCTCTCTACTTTGAATACCTACGGATGGTGGACTCTCACTATGCTCAATGTAGATGTGAACCTCTCTACAATCCTTCGCTCTAACGCCATCTTCATCAGCTCACGATCCTTATCCTCATATACAGACCTAACATTCGACATATCCTCTGTAGGAAGTCTATACCCAATCTTACCACATCGCTTGCAGCTTCCCAATTTCTACTAAAATCTTCGAAAATTGAAAAGGTGAGTAAATCGGGGTCTACCACCATATTTTGAGCCGTCGTTCCTCCTTTATTGCACCACTTGTTGCGCACCTTCGACATTGAACCTCCGTAGTGAATGTGTAGCTTTAAATCTTCATCTCCGCTGTACAAACACAAACACAAACATGCTTCGATGTTAGCAATATTCATCAAACACACACACAAAATTGAAGTATTGACTCGATTTAGGGTTTAGATGTACCTCATCTTTCTTCCTTTGCCTTCAATTCGATCTCAATAACGCCATTTTCAGTTCATCTGGGCAATCGAAATTTTAGGGTTTCTACCCAGATTTGGGAATTTTTTCTTCTCTCGGATCTTTGATCGGGTTTAGAGACAAATTGATATGGTTTAGCATATGGGTATGGATACGGGTCGGGATCCGAGTTTGGATAGTCCAACTAATGCTAAACCACTATGGTTACTATAGTTAGTCCGTTAACGGGACAGAAACGGTGTTTGAATTTCCGTTTATAATCGTTTCGTATATGGTATAAAAGAAATATACGGTAAATATTTGAGTATTTAAAATAGGCAAGAAAATTACTTAAGGTTTTTTTTTGGGCACATAAAAACTTGAGGATTTAAAAAGTTTATCAAAATTAATTTGATGATTTAATTTGGAATTTTCCCTAAAAATTTTATACCAAACGACGACGTTAATATGCGATCTCGATTTTAAAACTTTATACTTATTGTAAATTACAAAAAACTCCAACATTTATATCTTATTTTCAGATTCCGCGCTCGGCTCGGTGTTTGTCGAAAAACGCATCACATCGATCTCTCTCCATCGTCCGTCACTGAAAACCTCTCCGACGATCGTCCTCCGATCTGCCACTAGCTATGGCGGTAAGCATCGCCGGATCTCCGCCGTATTTCTTCCAGGCTTCATCTTCCAAGATTCGAATCCAATTTCACCTTAATTCCATTTCCTATTTTTTACAGGAATCGTCTGGCACGACGCTGATGGATCTGATCTCCGCGGACCCGACCCCGGTTCCTGCACAATCTACTTCTTCGTCGGCATCTTCCACGTCGTCTCACCCGTCTCCTGCAGCTGCATCGGCGGCTTCGCATCTGCACCATCCAATGTCGACGAAGACGACGCTGGGAGAGAAGAAATCGAAGAGAGCCACTTTGATGCAGATCCAGAACGACACTTTATCTGTTGCCAAAGCTGCACTAAATCCTGTTAAGGCCAATATCATGCCGCAAAGGCAGAGACAGAAAAAGAAGGTGCTGGTTTGCTTCTCTTTCTCTCTGGTTCGATCTATTGATTGAAATTTCGTGCCAAATGTTGGATTGTATTGTGTTCTACATTCTCTAGTGTGCTTGAATACTCTTAGTCGTTAAGCAAAGTGAACACGATTCTGCTATCTTCTTCTTCGATGTAGTTTAACACAATTTTTTTATGTTGGAAATGACTTCTCAGCCAGTTTCCTATACGCAACTTGCAAGGAGCATTCACGAATTAGCTGCCACCTTGGATCAGGTTAATATTTATGCTCTTATTCTCTGCCGATAACCCACTCTTCTTCTGGTGAAAATAGCATCTGAATGTTTCTTCTTCTCTGTTTTCCTTTTTTCACGAGTGAACAGAAAAGTTCCCAGAAACAACTAGTGAATCACGTGTTCCCTAAGCTTGCTGTGTACAACTCCGTTGATCCTTCCCTAGCCCCATCTCTTCTTATGGTATGTGGCGCTTGTCAGATCAATACTGTTCATCGTATCATTTGTTTAAAGTTTATTATGGAGCATCTAAAAATGATTAATTCTGTTAGACTTGTTTTTATTGTTCTTTACCCATGAAAGTTACATGAATCTTCAACGGTTTGCGTTGTGATTGATACAGCTTAATCAGCAATGTGAAGACAGGAATGTGCTACGCTATGTCTATTATTACTTAGCTAGAATTTTGTCTGATACGGGCATGAGTCCAGGGGGTGGTATCCCCACTCCTAACTGGGACGCTCTAGCAGATATTGATGCTGGTGGAGGAGTCACAAGAGCTGATGTTGTTCCTCGGATAGTGAATCAGCTGACATCCGAAGCTTCTAATTCTGAAGTTGAATGTAAGTTTTCACCCGTATTGACCATCATGGTTTTGTTTTTCAGGCTTTAGTGTTTTCTGATAAATATAATTCCGCCTTAAAGGATAAATGCCATGTTAGTGACTCACCGTGAAATGTAGTTTTAATTGGATTTGTGAGGACTGTCCTAATCTGATTTAGCTTTATAATGGTATTGCTTGTTTACTGCTTCGTAATAAATATTCCAGTACCTTATAATCTTCTTTTGATGGACACAATCAGAAAAAATGAGAGTTGTTATGTTAAAAGGTGGTTACGTAGATTTGGTGTTAGTTTTAGTGTGGAATTCGATGATAGAAATTGGTGTCTATGGATGTGAAAACCAATATGTTAGACAGTAAATAGAAACTAACAGCTTCAACATCATGGGGGTGAAAACTTTATTTCCTACTTTGTAGCATTCTCTTGCAACTTTGTTTCTGTGATGTGACTGGAGATGATTTTTAACCTTATCATTTGTTGTTCAGTTCATGCTCGACGACTGCAAGCTTTAAAAGCTCTGACATATTCACCGTCAGGAAATTCTGAGCTTTTGTCAAAATTGTATGAGATTGTATTTGGCCTGCTTGATAAGGTTTGTCTTACTACCAATGCGCTCTGATGTTTAACTAGATGCTTTGCTTATTTTTCATAAGTTCTAGCTTAGTTCATTGTTTTGTACTCGGTGAAAAAGTTATGATTTTAACCTTAGTCTTTTGCTTTCTTTTTAACTAATAAAATTTCTAATTATACTATTGCATACTTGTTGCTGTTCTTATTAGTAAAATGGATCGATCTAAACATTATTTCCAAGTTACATGCGCACTGATTCATTTTCATTTCGCTTTCAGGTTGCTGATGTTCCGCATAAACGAAAGAAAGGCGTCTTTGGGACAAAAGGGGGTGATAAGGAGGTATCTTTCTCAACTCTCAGGTTCCTCCAATAAAGGGTCAACAATTATTATTTGTTATCAACCTGAGCGTTCTGTCTCCTTCCTTTTTGCTAGTCGATCATTCGGAGTAACTTGCAATATGCTGCTATGAGTGCATTAAGAAGACTTCCTCTTGATCCAGGAAATCCACTTTTTCTCCACCGTGCAGCTCAGGGGTAAGATACTTTCTATTAAAGTGATTAGAATACTGGAATTAATAGTTTAGGTGGTTTTTTCAACTCTTAACAAGAGCAATTGTTTTTTTTAGTTTTTCCTTATTATGCAGTGGATTTAACTGGTATCCCCCCTATTTGCAGTGTTTCATTTGCTGATCCTGTTGCGGTGAGGCACTCGCTGGAAATTCTATCTGAGTTAGCCACAAGAGACCCCTATACAGTTGCAATGACATTAGGTAAATGAATTATTCAGTCAATTCCTCCTTAAATTGTTTTTGCCATTCTATATCTGTGCAAACACATAATTGTTTGTCATTCAAAGTTTGATCTGTGTCTCTCTATCTTTTTGCTGCAGAAAAGCTTGCGTCTCCTGCAGGTATGCTTTCCAGGCCTAAACTCGTAGTGCTAATTTGCTCGTTGGCGATTTTATCTTTACTTGTTCTAATTACAAAGAAGTCTCTGGAACACGATTTCTAAATACATTCTATGAATTGATCCACTTAGGAGACGTACTCTTGATTCTTATTATAAGCCAACTGTCTTTTATATAATAATACGGCAAGGTTAGAACAAATCTGGGTTAGCTGATATAACTTTCCTCTGTGCACCAAATTAGGGGCTTTGCAAGACATCCTACATTTGCATGATGTGCTTGCCAGGGTTGCCCTGGCTAGGTTATGTCACAGTATATCAAGAGCTCGGGCGTTAGATGGTAAGCATATCCAGCTCTTCTCTCATTACTGCATGTTCTCGTTAGCTGTAATTTTTATCTGGTTATATGGGAGGTTTTTGAAGATTTACAAGTTTGTAGTTTACTTTGCATTTTCCTACAGAGAGGCCTGATATTAGATCTCAGTTCAACTCAATTCTCTATCAGCTACTCCTAGATCCAAGCGAAAGGGTATGCAATGAGGCGATTTTGTGCATTCTGGGAAAATACGATAACACCGAAAGGCATGGCTTCTATGACTTTGCTTTCTCTTGATTCATTCTTTCCTAGGTTTTGAATTACCAAACTTTACTGCATCATTTAGGATGGATGAGCGTGCTGCTGGGTGGTACCGCTTGACCAGGGAGATCCTGAAGCTGCCAGAAGCGCCATCCAAGGATAAATCTAATAAAAACAAGCGCCCACAGCCCCTTATTAAGCTTGTAATGAGAAGGTAGTCCTAGCTTGATGGAAGACCGTGTATATAATTGTAGATCTTATGGATTCCCTTTCTTCACTGTAGTGATTGTGTTTCCTGTCAAAGATTTTCGCTAATTGATCTTGGCCTTTCAGGTTAGAGAGCTCATTTCGCAGTTTCTCAAGACCAGTCCTTCATGCAGCAGCAAGGGTTGTGCAAGAAATGGGAAAGAGCAGGGCTGCAGCGTTTGCTATGGGATTACAGGATATTGACGAAACAGTTCACGTAAATGCTTATTCTGACGCTCTGGATGATGCTGAGACCAATGACAGTTCTCACCCAGAAGGTATATTGTTAACATCTCTATAAAGGTCACCAACTAGAAATGTAAGTAAAGTCATTGCATGCATCAATTTTATAATCTGACTGTTTTTATTGTTGTTGTACCTCGAATCGTCACAAAACTTAAAAAAGTGAGTAAATTTAATGCTCTAATAAAATCATATGATGGTTTGCCAGTCTTCTCTTCAGACCTAAACAAAGGAACATGTTTTTCCTATCTCTTTGATCTTCCTTTACCTTATTTAAATATGCAGGGTATCTTATCATCTTTTGAGTTGTAACATGTCCCATATCACTTTGTATTTAACTTCTTTCCCTCTTTCTGGTTACATATAATACCCTTATTGTTATCATTTTCATTTGTTGAAACTTTTGCAGGAATACGGAGAACATCATCTATATCCGCAGGGCCTGGTCGCAATGAAACGATTGCAAGTTTGCTGGCTTCATTAATGGAGGTGGTTCGAACAACAGTAGCATGCGAGTGCGTGTATGTCCGGGGAATGGTTATCAAAGCATTGATATGGATGCAAAGTCCCCATGAATCTTTGGATGAATTGAAATCAATCATTGCCTCAGAGCTTTCTGATCCTGCTTGGCCCGCAGCTCTAGTTAATGATGTTTTGCTTACTTTGCATGCTCGCTTTAAGGTAAGTACGAAATTTTCTTCTTTTGTAATGAAAACTTGGAATTCTCTGATGAAGAAAAAGACGTGAAATCCTGTTAGAACATCATGATGTACTAGTCGTTAGCCATTTTTGTCTTTTTCTATCTGTACTTGGAAAAAGTGAGATAAGCTGTTGTTGGATAATGCTACATAGCCTTAAACTTGGTTCCAGGTCGAATATATGTGATCTTTGTGGTCCCTTTATCTTTCTCTAAATAAAAGCAATCTGGGTCTATGTTTATTCATGAATAAATCAAGTTCTTCAGATTTTCTAATTTTCCAACGTATTTGAAAAGTGCTTAAAAGTTTTAGTAGCTTTATATTTGTCTATATTCGTATAAATAGGATGTTTTTGTAGGGAAACTCTTTAATTTATTAGGTTTTGTAAGAAGAGGTATTTGGCATTCTACATTAAGGAACTTGTGATAGATCTGTTGCGCTGAAATTGAAGGCAAACTTAAAAAAATTGTTGAAGAGTGAAATATGAACTGTTTTTTTTAATCTAATTAACTTTAATTTTATTTTTCTTCCACAGGCCACTCCAGATATGGCTGTTATTCTTCTAGAAATAGCCAGAATATTTGCTACCAAAGTTCCAGGGAAAATTGACGCTGATGTCTTACAACTGCTCTGGAAGGTATTCTCTTCTCACTAATGTAATTTTCAAAGTTATTGTAATTTAATTACGTCTGTTGTATACTATAATCTTCCTGTGTCAATTCTCAGTGTGTTAGACATTTTGAGATCGTGAAGTTTGTTACTTGTCGTTAATATTTTATAGCTGTATAATTATTGTCCTTGTATATATAACTGTAAGTCTCACATTGTTTTGGGATAGCTTGATGAATTTTGTTACCTCAAGTAGTTTATTTTGATAGATTTTCTTCATTGATCAACTTCTAGACATGTCTTGTTGGAGCTGGTTCTGATGGGAAACACACAGCTCTGGAAGCAGTCACGATTGTACTCGATCTACCACCTCCACAGCCAGGATCTATGTCAGGAATGACGTCAATTGATAGGGTCTCTGCATCAGATCCAAAGTCAGCTCTGGCGCTGCAGAAATTGGTGCAAGCCGCAGTAAGCATTCCTCAGAAAGGTTTTTCATGCATTTGGTAACGTTTTGAATACATTAACTTAGAAAGAATACTTGCAGGTATGGTTCCTTGGAGAAAATGCAAACTACGCCGCTTCAGAATACGCGTGGGAATCTGCAACTCCACCGGGCACTGCACTTATGATGTTGGATGCAGATAAGATGGTTGCTGCAGCCAGTTCTCGCAATCCTACTCTAGCTGGTGCATTAACTCGCCTCCAGAGGTGTGCATTCAGTGGTAGCTGGGAGGTATACACTATATTTTGTTGGTCATATATATTTTGATTTGATTTTTATTTTCTAATTGGATGATTTATATAGATGACTTAATTGTCTTGCAATGGTCTTTGATCCTTAGCCTTGTCTAGGAACATTTTGGCTGGTAAATGCAGTAAGCTATTCCCTGTCTGTAGCTGATTTGTTTAATCATTTGATGCTATAGTGCGACACCATATTTGAGACCCTTCTCTTATAAGTTGGGATTTGGGGCTTAGGCGCCGACGGATTGAAATGGTCTAGTTAGCTAGCTTCTGGCTGTTTCTTTTTAAGAATTCGTTTGTTCTTTTGTTTCTACCATGAAACAGAATGTGCTGGAGTAATTGTTGCTGACCAGAAACTATAAGAACAAGCTAATGAAAGTTGACTATAAGAATCTCGTTTGGTCTCTCTCTTTTTATCTAAGCTTTAATAATTGTTTAGAGATCTTTACTGTTATAGAAAATAGCTGATTTATTAGTTGTGATCCTTTATTACATTTGATATTTGATTTTCTTCCTGGCACTTTAGTTAGAGTCTTGTGAAGCAGACACGATTTTGTTGTCAGGATAGGCTACTAAGATGAGTAGAACTTCTAGGATTTCCTGCCTAAGTGTTTAAGTTTCATGGATACACAGGTCCGAATTGTTGCAGTTCAAGCTCTTACTACGATAGCCATTAGATCTGGTGAACCTTTTAGGCTGCAGATATATGAGTTTTTGCACACCTTGGCGGAGGGTGGTGTACAGTCTCAACTTTCTGAAATGCACCTGAGTAATGGGGAAGACCAAGGAGTTAGTGGTACAGGACTTGGAGTTTTAATAACTCCGATGTTAAAAGTTCTGGATGAAATGTATGTAGGACAAGACGAATTAATCAAGTAAGGAAGAAATCTGATATTTTTCTTCCTTTAGTTCATGCATGTAAACTGTCAATGATTCTATGGTTGACATGATTTTTTCCTTGATAATAAGGGAAATACGCAATCACGATAATGCAAACAAAGAATGGAAGGACGAGGAGCTGAAAAAACTCTACGAGTCCCATGAGAGGCTGCTAGATTTTGTTTCCTTGTTTTGCTATATTCCAAGAGCCAAGTATTTACCCCTGGGTCCGATAAGGTACATTCTGAATTCTGAATTCATTTATCAATCAGTGACACCCTTACCCATTATAGTGCATAATACTTACTTAGGATGCTAATCTTGCGTAGAGCATAGGGAGGCAATAATACGACAACACCAAATCTTTTTTCTTGTTTCCGAGAGACTTCTTGCGCTAGCTTCTATGTCATATGCCTATCTAGTTTAACAGGGTTTACTGCATTGCATGCATGGAATAACCTCAATCCTGACAAAAGAAGAAGAAGCATCACTTTTATCACAGATCTTGACAAAATTCAAAAACCACGTTAAATGTGTATTAACATTCTTATTCTTAAATTTCATGTTTGGTGAAATTGCTGTCGACCTTTTGTATACATTGCATGCTTGTGCCCCCTTTCCCGGCTTTCTTTATATTATTAGGTGTTTTTCTGTCTCTATTCAACACTGATATATTCTTTTATTTATTATTTTCTTCCTCCAAACCTATGAAGTGCAAAGCTCATTGACATATACCGCACAAAGCACAATATCACGGCATCTTCTGGGACAACCGATCCAACTGTTGTTGCGACCGGTATTTCAGACTTAATTTATGAGTCAACTCAGCCTGCCCCTGCTCCCTCAAACTCCAGTGGTCTGGATGATGATCTGGTTAATGCTTGGGCTGCAAACCTTGGTGATGATGGTCTTCTTGGAAACAACGCCCCAGCAATGAGCAGGGTCAGTTGCCATTCTTATCTGACTTTTTACGATAAAGGATTAGTATGTGTGCAGTTTAGTGCCTAAGTGTACTGTTTATATATTCTTCTTATTGTTAGATGAAGGATATAGGGCACAATAAATTTTCTGATCAGGAAATGAGAAAGTAAAAACACTTCTGTGGATTACCCCATTAGAGTAAATCTTTGTTTCTGGAAAAGAAGACTTAACCGTTTTCACGTTACAATCCACTATGCCTTAGTTTCGAACTGGCAATAATGAATGCGTTTCCATCTTCTCTTATTGTGATGAAAAGTTTCGGTATTGACTTTTCCGATCAAAAGTAGTTTGCAAATCTGCTTGGATTCACAGGAGTAATAGTTAACCATTCGTCTGATGATCTGGTCATGTGAAATAATGTTCTCTTAGTAATCATTTGTACATGATTACATTTATAAATGCTACCTATTTTTTTTTTGTCTCCAATTGAATCTCACACCTATGTAATACTTGTCAGGTCAATGAATTCATTGCTGGAGTCGGAACAGATGCACCAGATGTCGAGGAGGAGAATGTCTTCTCTAGACCTTCGGTTGGCTATGATGACATGTGGGCTAAGACTCTTTTAGAAACTAACGACTTGGAGGTATACAGTTAGCTTCATCCATCTTTAAGGCTTTCTGAAAAATGACATGGAATATACAGTCTTTTAATTTTATGGATGCTAAAACACATGACTTTTATCGTACTTACAGGAAGAAGATGTGAGATCAGGTTCATCGTCTCCGGATTCTACTGGATCAGTGGAAAGCTCTATATCCTCTCACTTTGGTGGAATGAATTACCCATCATTGTTCAGTTCAAAGCCTTCCTCACAATCAACGGTAGGCTACACACAAATTCTTCCTTTAATTCCATTCCTTATTACCTATATGGGACGCAATGCATCTCTCAGCTAAATTCATCTTATATGAATATGTTAAACATAAACAGGCAAAATCGGGCGGAAGCAAATACCAGTCAACATATGAAGGCTATGGTTCCCCGGTAAACTGATATTCTTTTCTGTGTTTGTATGTATATGCGCTGACTTGCATGGGCTGATTCCTTATTATTAATCATTCTTCTCTCGATCTTTCCATTTTCAGATTAGAGAAGAGCCTCCTCCGCCATATTCGTACTCTGAGCCACAAACTCATCAATCGTTTGAGAATCCTCTGGCAGGGTCTGGTTCTCGAAGCTATGAATCAGACGATGAAGAACCTAGGAAATCTACAGGTACAAGATTTGGAACAGCGCTCTATGACTTCACCGCAGGAGGAGACGATGAGGTAAGCTTTTGCTTTTGTCTTTTTTTTTTTTTTCATTCTTTGGTATGTTTATGGTTATGATTCAGTCAAAAGCTTCCTTCATTGTGTTCTCTATATGATAATCTTGTTCTTGGAAAGATTCAAGCGTTTAAAACACATTTGGGGGGTTTGGTTTTGTTGCAGCTAAACTTGACAGCAGAAGAGGAATTGGAGATAGAATATGAAGTTGATGGCTGGTTTTACGTAAGTTTAGAAAGAACAACGCATGACTCTTGTGAGTAAATGTTCATAAAACCTAAACCTAACTGGTAATCAATTTATAAACTATGGCAGGTAAAGAAGAAAAGGCCTGGCAGAGACGGGAAGATGGCTGGACTTGTACCTGTTCTTTACGTCAATCAATCTTAATATTTGTTTTCTTTTTTAGACGTTGAAGCTGAGATTATGAACATCTTATAGATGCCCAGAAATTTTCTGATCCATGATTTGTTTGAGAGGTAATGTAAAATCAGTGTACATGAATGAATGTATTTGTTTGGGGTTTTGATTCATGTGTATGTGTGTGTATCTCTTTGAACAATTCTTGTTCCAATGCTAGTTTTTTATTCGTCAGCTAAGTGGTTACTAACAAGAACACTTGAGTTTTCTTTTTTTACTCTTTGTTACATTGAATGCATTTACACATAATAATGAATTGGCTAAATCTAATCTCTGTCTTGTCGCAAGACACATCAGTTTATTTGCAACAAAAAATACCAGAACTTGGATGATTCTGATCTGATAAAAACTTAGAAACTTTTAATAGATCATCTTTATCACCATTTATGGATTTAATCCCAGAAGCTCTGATAAAGCAGAACCAAACTCAGATTTTGTTCAACTGTTGGTTTAATAATACAAGAAGTTACACAGACATGGACATGATTTGTTGAGCAATGGCCGGTTCTTGCTGCAACAGCTCCTTGAAGTTGTTCTCCACCTCTGCGATCTGCTTCTCCAAGTATTCCTTCGATGGCTGACATTAATCATCCCGCAAATACGTTAATAATACACCAACCATCATTCAAATGCTCTCTCCTAATAACCAATCAGATCTTTAAATCCTCAAAGAAAGATTTTATATTTCTAACAGCCATAATGATGTACCTGAAGAGAAGCAATTGCAGCCTCACTATCCTTGAGTTTCTGCTCTTGTTCAGCCTCTAATACTGCCTTGGGCTCTAAAACAAACCTGTTCACCATATAATGAAGCAAAAACACTATAATCAGCCTTCGAAAATTCTTTCCCCAATGCCAGTATTTTGGAGGGACTATTAAAACACTCACGTTCTTCCTGAAAAACGAAACCAGAACACAAGTTAGACGTGATAAACACCAAAAGAAAAATATAAAACCAGAGGAGAAAGGTGAATCAAATTGCCTATTGACTTGTAGGTGTTTGTATCTTCAGGCAATGGCCTTAACTCCTCCAATGTTAAGAAAGCACGTTTTTTATCTCCTTCTTTGTTGCGCATCTGATTCTGCACCTAAAAGCAGTACGTATATACACATTCACATACATATATCAGCTTTTTTTACCAAATTACAAGTATAACTTTTTCCCCTCTTTTTATCTCCAGTAACATCTTATTTCATCACACATAGAGCTAACCTTTAAAACCACATTGGTCGAGAAAAGCCAAATAATATTCACACAAACCATAAGCAAATCGAGGTTCTAACATTGGAAACAAGAGTCTTAAAAGTCTGATGTGACACTGATTTATATATTCATCCCACAATTATAAACAACCTAAGATTGAATCATTATCCACAGTTATAACAAAACCTAACACTGAATCATTTTCAGAACCGCAGTTATATATAACACATATCTGAAGGTTTGATTCCAAACTCAAACACGGTTCAACAAGTAACAAAATCGAAGCAAAAACACTTCAGCATTAGTGGTCACGTTTGATTCCAATATTGTATATTTCTCTAAAAGAGCAAACCTTTGCCAATGAAATCAAAATTTGTTTTTGACCCAAATGTGAAGATAAGTAAATCAAAATAAGGAAGATGGATCATTTTACCTGCTTCAGCTTCCCGGTGAGTTCAATCATGCTTGCTTGAATCTCTAGAAAAGCCTGTAAATTTGAATCCCATTAAGGTTTAAACAATTTGGACTTTCCAATTATTTTTTTATTCCTCAAAGGAAAACGGTATCAATCGCAACTTACAGTTCTGTTTGCTTCGTCCGCCATATCTGCAGTAGATCTTAAGATCTTCCAACTTCGACTGTGCAAAAAGAAAGTCTTTCGTTTAGGTTTACGAAAAAAAAAAAAAAAAAGTGACAACTTTCGGGTTCTCAACACAGGTCGGGTTGCAACCCGTTTGTTTGTGGAAAGCAAATGTCAATTAAACCCCCAAACTTGGCCAAAATTGCCCAAACCCCCCAGAGTTATAAAGGAAACACTTTTTGTTTGAATGATTGAATGATAAAAAAATTAGTGTTTCCCATAATGAGATCAAAATTTGGCTGTGACTCGAAACCATTATGTTAATATTCCGTATTAAAAACCTCCAAATGCTGACAAGAGAGTCTTTTCGACTCATAAAAAAAGAAATGATAATAAGATTAATGCATAATATTTCGATTACTAGTGTTAAAATGAATCAGTGACCGTTTCTCAGAGAAGAAGGGTGAGTTCGTCGTTTCACGAAATTTTAAAAAGCATTTTGGAATGTACGTCTTATTTCTTGTCTCTTCTTCATTCCTTGTTTTGATTGAAATGAAAGTTTTGAAAGTTTTCATGTTTTGGGATGCTGATAAACTCTCATTACCAGATGACACCAAGCTCTCCACCATTTAATAGTCGGTTTTTCTTGATTTACACAGTTTTAGTTGTGATGATTTTTATGTTGATTTTACAAACCAAACTTTCTACTTAATCCCTGAAATAATATTTTTTTTTACGGTTAATGTGAGACAGTAAATCGAACTCCAAGTACAATCAAACTAAAAAATTATTTCAAAAAAGTGGTATTGAAAAATTTGAGGCGCCTCATATGTGTATGCTAAGGAAGATAAATCGGATCCGAATCAGATTAAGGATGGGAGATAGAAATTTCGAAAAATCTGAATACAGAATTTGGAAATAGTAAATGCGACGAGGATGGAAGACAACTGAATGTGAGATACATGATACTTATGATGAGGTTAAGAGGAATCAGGTTAAGAGGTGGAAGAAAAATTCTCATATTCTTAAACTCTTATTCAAAGAATTTCATAAATTATCAAAAGAGAATGAGAGTATGATATACAAAACCATTCAATCAAGGTTTCTATAGAATCAAAAATCAAATGAACCAGAAAGAATAAAATTATGTAACCATAATGGTGAGGATCCTAACTTGTATTTCTTGATTGTCACATCTAATAGTGATTTCTATAGATTATTGAAGTTCTGCTGCAATCATATCCAAATCCAAGCGAAACAATGTATGATTGCAAATCAATCATAGATCAATACCCTGTTGGATACTGCTCTAATTTCTCTCAAATAATGTTACTTTTGGATTACTATGCAAATCAATCTTCACCATTTTAAAAACTAGTAGTTGAAATTTAGAATATCATAATCTTGAGATAATGTATCTTAAAGGTTGTATGAATTTGCGAGCTATGTCTTCAATCTTCAATTAAGATTGATTATGTTTTTTTATTGTATTTTTGTTAAGACCTATCAAAATCTACTTTGCGCAATTGTGATAACATGTTATCATGATTAAGTATTTCAATTCTATTTTAAATAAGACTTATCTAAAAAAAATTCAGCTTAAACCAAAGGCATATATATGTACAGCATGTGAATATTGTTCCATTATTTCCTATAGAAATTTTGTCATAATCTTATCGTGGTCAAAGTAGTGACTCTCTATAACTACTACCAAATTTCTCAACATATATAGAATGATAAATGTATTTCTATGTATTTAGACAATGTTGTTTACTTGTGTGGAGATGAGAACTTGATGAGCAAGTTTTATTTATCAAAGACACAATGTCATTTTGGACACTAGGGAATTTGGACCACAAGAAAAGCAAACGGCTACTGCATCAGACAATAAAGCAACGTTGCAGGTTATGGCACAAGAGAAGGACAGTTTGTCCATTTGTGTTAAATGCTTGTTTACCTAAGCGTGGCTAAAAGAGGCTCCTTTGGTGTTATTTGAGAGTTGTCTTAAGACCTAGGTGTGTCAAATATATAAAGTGTGCTTTGGGCATGAGAGAGGTAGAGCACAACACAATGTAGAGATCAGGAGAGAGAACTCAAGTGTAAACTTGGTGAGTGTTCTTGGGGAAAGGAGTGAAAGAGGGAGAGAAAAACCTTTGTAAGAGGGCTTTTAGGGTTTATAGATCTCTTTGTACACTCTATGATCTAGTAGATTCCGGGAAGAAATCCTGGCGAGATGTAGCGACCCGAGTTTATGGATGTGAACTCGAGTTTATGGATCTCTTTGTGTGTGCTCCCTTTTCTTTTCTGCTTTGTTCTTATATCTTCTTCATATCATTCTTGCTCTGTTTTATTTTGTGACTTGTGTTTTCACGTCGAAGACAACTCAAAGCTTGAACCTTGAAGGGCCAAATCCTATCAACTTGCATAGTTGTATGACGTCAATAGATATCATATGATGAGGAATTGTTTATCTTCCCCACCTTCTTAGAGTTAATTCATATAATACCGTAAGATGTTATCTCAACAAAATTTTGGGTGTTCGATCTGGTTTTCTATTCTTAACTTTTTATCCGGTTTAGGAGATATTTGAACTAAACTGAAACCAATACTAGTTTCAATGAATTTGTTAAGGTTCAGTTTTGGTTTGGAACTGTTTAAAAATCAGAATATGTGATTACATAGTCAATGTAATTATGATTTATCTGTAAACACAAAATTTCTGTAAGTACTTATGTATGTAAAATCAATTGTCGCAAGATAGTAATAACGATTCGAATATGGATTAAATATCAAATTTTCAATTATAATATATATATATATATATATATTTCTAATAATGAAGAAGGTTAAACGCTATATAAATAAGAGTTGGTAATAGCAAGTAGAGTACATCAAAAAGAGTCAAACATACATACATAAGCAAAACAAACAAGAAAGAAAAAAAAAAAAGAGATGGAGAAGAAGTGTATGTTGATGATTGCAGTAGCTATTTCTTCATAGTTTTCGTTTGGTTCAGTTTCCGTAGTCTGTTAAAAAATAAACAAACAGACTTCAACCAAACATCGATTATTAAAGGATACTTCATGTGAGAATAAAGACAAAATTGATGATGGATAAACTCAGGGAGAAATATGTTTTGTTTTATAAAGGGAGGATTACTACACTAACCTTAGAAAGTATCTATATTACTGGTTCGACGCACTTTTATTTTTTTTACAAAACTAACCTAGCATACTCAAAACACCATTTTGGCCTTTGTTGAAAAAAACCTTATTACGAAAATGCCATTACTTTTTTAATGCCACGTAGGCAGATTCTGGCGCTAAAAATTTCATAAGTCTACCAAGCTTTGTGGTAGACTTATGAAATTTTGGTCAACGCAGAAATTTTGTTGGTAGAGTTATTAGGGCGATGGTAGATTTATTCAAGAGTTGGTAGAGTTTTTAAATGTTGGTAGACTTTTCTTGGTAGAGTTTTGACGATGAGAGGTAGATTTATTATGTTTCGGTAGATTTGTTGTTATGAATGGTAGACTTGTCAAAAGTTTTGGTAGACTTGTTAACAAAAACGTTGACTTTCTTGCATAGTTGACTTTTTCGGTAGATTTATTGACAATGAAGTAGATTTATTTTCTGAGTTGGTAGACTTATTTCCTTTAGCGGTAGATTTATGTGAAAAAAGTTGTCAATACGTGCGGTAGACTTATCTGTTTCATGGTAGAGTTATATATAATTGGTAGAGTTTTCGCTTTTGAGGTAGATTTGTTTGACTTGTGGTAGATTTAATTCAGTTATAATTCATTCCGGTTAGTGGTAGACTATATGTTACATGTGGTAGACTTAAAAACTGTTGGTAGATTTATTTGTTTTGTGGTATATTTTTAAAAAATTTCATTCTGATTTGTGGTAGATTAATAATGACATGAAGTAGACTTACAAGATGTTGGTAGATTTGTTTGTATGTTTGGTAGAGTTTATGTAATCTGGTAGACTTATCTGCCGTATGGTAGACTTGTTGAAATAACAATGTGGTAGATTAATTAAGTTTGGTATTTACAGAGTTAACCTTGATCTGGTAGACATATGACATGCTTATGGTAGACTTGTTTATATGGTAGAGTTATTTGTCATGGTTGAGGTAGACTTAGTATTTAATGTTTGGCAGACATTTGACTTTATGGAGTAAAATTACTTTTTTGTCCAAAAGAATTGTTCTATCTACAAAAAAAAACCTACTGTTTGGTAGACTTATGGTTTCAGTGTTGTACGTCTTGCAATTTTCTTCCATATAGTAGACTTATGGTAACGGTAACCATAAACCGTTACCAACGAACCGTCGCATATGGTAGACTTATGCATTTTCCAACGAACAGTCGCATCGATTTCGAGAACTTCTATTGACTCGAGTCGCTTCGAGTTCTCGTGTGAGTTCTCTATAAATTCCCTAAACCTAGACGATTCATTTCCCATCCCTCTAAACCCTATGGCGAATCTCGAGTCGCTTCCTTCTGATCTTTTGTACGAGATATTGTTGAAAATATCTTCAAACTCGTATGCGGATCTTTGTCTTGCAAAAGTTTCGTCCAAAACACTTAACAACATCTCAAACGAAGCGGGTTTTCTTAGGAATGTTGATTTAATCAACATTATGTTGCCGTGGAGGTGGGATGTTCACAGAAGGGTCGGTGCATTCTTCAAACGGTGCTTGGCGGCAGGAAATCCATCCGCACAATTGCGAAGAGGTTTATCGCTGATTTTCTTTGAACATAACCTCCAAGCAGGGTGTGATCTCATTCGAATGGCATCAGACAACGGATTTCTCATGGGTAAGTACTGCCACACTATGTTACATCTAACCATGGATGGCACATCAGAGGTATTCAACTCTGTCAAAGCTCTCTCCCGGGAAGATGCAAAGCAAATGAGATTGGCAATGGAAAAGATCTTCATGCCTGCGTTCAATTTCCAGAAGCCCGAGGAACTGGTGGAAATGGTTTTCGAGGCTTATAAAAAGTCTTTAACTACAAGGATTTGTGGTTGTCTCAAAGTACCAGACATGCAATGGATGGGAGATGAATACCTGCTAGAGACGTATGGGGATCAACTTTGTGAATCCTGCTTCTGGAAATTGGAGTGTGCCAATTTCTGGTGGGTAGTACCGTC